TCGAGCCATTCATTATTGACGTTGGTGCTTCAGGCAGTAGCGATGATGAAAGCTCATCAAGCTCATCTTTCCAATAAAGATGTCGTTCCTCAAATTCGGTAAGTTATAAGTAATTATAAAGCTACTGTATTTTTTAATTAATTATTGACATTTTTGAACCCATTTTGGCAAAACCTATTCAAAAATCTACTTTCTGACAATGTTCAACCATGCACATTTTTTTACGTTTTGAACGTTTTAATGTGGTTACATATTTATCTAGAAATCAAAAAATATACTAATCAATAGTCTAAAAGCAATTTTAAGAGATATACGATTATTTTTAATTTAGGCTAATTTAAACGCCATTTTGAGATTATATTCGACTGTATTTCACCAAATCAGGCGGCATCCGAAGCTGGAAATCGAAGCGAAAATTTTGAAACCCTTATGTATATTTACATCATTATATATTTCTTACCCCACCCCCACATTATCCTATATCCATCACCAATCGTATACACATCGAATTGTGCTAATTTACTACAAAGTTACGCAAAGCAGCATCTACTATCTAAAATATGTACTGCGTGACTCTTAATACGTCCCTGCCGAATGTTACAGCGTTCGATGATCACGTGGTCTTGTTTATGTCCGGTCTATCTCTTATCTGAATATACTGTAGATATTGGTTAGTTCTGGGACCTTCAGGGACGTAAAGATATATTATATATAATTTGCAAGACCAACCAGAAATAAAAACACCTTTTGCTTTCGGCTTTCAGCTTCCTGAAATAGAATTTCACTGCGTGATTGACATAAGGGTTAAGTCAGTACATATTCCAGGTGTACCGAGGTTCCACTAGTCACTTCCGAAAAATTCGGTGTCTAACTTAGGTGGGAGTCCAGGGATACCTAGCTCAATCGGGAATATCCTGATCTCTCCGGCTTTCGCAATTACAACCGAGTAAGGCCTGCCTCGTCAGTCACTTCCGAAACCTCGGTGTCTAACTTGTGAGGGAGGGGGTCGAACTCGGAGAAATTGAGAATACTGCCTGGTAGATGCGGTCGGGTATGTCGAATCACCAGTCGGATGTATAAATATGTGCAAATAATCTTCAATAATAGCGCTTATGGAGGTCCCAGAGTACCGCAATTAACCAACACGGGCGCGCAGAGTCTACCTACTTGACACAAGTCCAAACGTAGATAACAAGATTTAATAAGCAATATCTCATTTACGCTGTTCCCGTTTTAAATTTCTTCCCTTTAACTCGAATTCATAACAATTCACTAAAACTCAAATGTAAATTACGCTAAGGCTGGTAAACCCATTCATAAACGGTTTTGTTCTAAAATACTCTCAAAGTCTAACTCACAGTTATTATTTTTTTTAGCACACTAGTTCGGTCAATATTCAAAAATAAACGGAAAGCAAACAACTATCTTCTCAAAATTCGTATGTCAAAGATATATACTGGAAAAAAAGCACTACAATTTCCATGACTAAAGAACGAGTCAATCAGAGAAAAATAAAATCACACGGATTCTGGATTAGGCTCTATACGGTAAGCAAAATTTCAACAACAATAAATAAATCCAGAACCTGAAAAATACTTCACTTACGGTTATCGGAGTTACAACTATATCACTAAAATGGAACGCACTGGTTTAAACGGTTAAACGGAATACCCTTTTAACTCACCCCCTTACCTCTTGGTGCAAGCGGGTGCTTCGGTACTACGGTTTCTGCCAGGAGAGAAGAACGGAAAAGAAAAGAGCACGGCATATGTACATACGCCCGCGCTTTTATAGTGCTCGCCAATGTTCTAGAACCGACGTTGGTCGCTAACTCATGCCGTCCGCCACTGCGAATCTTCTTGACGTGGTGACGCCGACGTGGTGCACTTGATTGAATCAAAAGTACTTCTTTTCGATTCCTTATGGTGCACCCTATAAAATGAGTACCCCTAGGGCATCTCTTTCCAAAGGGCTAGATCAGACTCTGCAGGGTTTCAAGTCCCAAAGGGGCCTATAGCCAGTTCTAGCGCCTCCCCGACGACCGGCAGTGCATCAGCTCCGTGCAGGTTGCAATTCCCGCACGATGACCACTCTAAAGTGCTTTTAAACCTGTACTACAACCAAAAGGGACCTTAGTGCCTTTTTGCCCACTGCTAGTGACCTTACAGGGCTCACAACGCCAAGAGGGTTGTGCGACAAGTCCCCCTAGACATCTGAATGTGGAAGAAAGACTTCTCATTCGTTATAAGGGCACTAAATGCCTATTTCAGCCTGTGCCTCAATACGCCACTTTGGCGTGTTGTTTCTCCCCTGCAAATCCCTGAACCTATTAGTCCTGCCTCATAACGCATTCCTAACGTCCTGAATATCGTCTAGTGCTACCACAAGGCTTAAAAATTGATTTAAATCGTTTCATTCAATATAATAAATTCTAATTCGGAAAACCAAAAATATCAATTTCTGTCTATTTCTGTGTGTAACACATGGCAACAAAAACGACTGTGGTATGTCATAAAAACATCAGACTCTTTATAGGACACAAAATAATATATAGAACAGGACACTATCCCAATTTTAGAATAACGGCTCTATAATTAATGATTAATCTAAAATTTCACGTCTTCGAGAAAACGTGAATACGAGGGGAGGACAGAAAGTACGCAATTCACGGCACCGGAGAAAAATTATATATACGTATATATATATATATATTTTGAGACGTGGTCATTGTCGTCTAGACCAGTTAGGTGAAAAATTAAAGCTTCCGCCTTTTGTTGGGTACTTCGACAAAATTTAAGCAAAGAGGACTCTTTATACTTTTTTAATTCTCTCTAGCTTTCAATGGACCTTGCCATCATCATCAGGAGCTGCAATTACAATGATAACAGTAGCAACAATAGTGTAAAATGAATTTAAATTGAATCAACTTACAGTAGTATGTGAGGATGTTGCTAATTGTTGTTTTCGTATAGGATGAGGGAAACGTCCAGTAACATGGTGAGAGCTGGATACATGGTACAATGGTTAAAATTATATAAAATATGACAAGACAAGTTAAAAGTTTAAATTGACTTAACTTACAGTAGTATGTATATATATACATATATATATATATATATATATATATAAATAATAATCATAAATAAGCACCATAGTGAGAAACTGACGAAGAGCGTTTGAGCTTGAATGGACGTCACGTGACAGGGTGCACGGGCACGATGCGCAATTGGTCCTTTGAAAATGGCCCTCGTAAGTTCAAGAGATATTCAAATGATCAACGACCTCTTATTTAAGTAACATCTAAGTACCCATATTTTTATTATATCAACTCTACAACGCGTAGACCAGTATCTGTTTTTCATGCACCTTCGATCGCTGTGATAAGGGTATATACTCTCCATTGACCTCATTAGTAAAGATACCTATATCAGGATCATATTTATAAACTTTACCTTACCTCCTATTCTGTTTGATAAGAAAAGAGCTATTATAAAAATGTTGTAAATACATATATGTATATGAAAGAACAATGAATCAGCAAGGGGATGTTATCTAAACACTGTTTAAGGTCGCGAAGTGCAAATTCGAAGACAACACATGAGAATATATAATAAGAACATCAAGTTTTTCAAACTTCGGTTGAGTGCAGTCGTCTAGGCAGATTTTCCTTATAATACAGATAACAGAACCAAAGACTATTTATATGATGAATAGATTAACATAGACATAACCGATGTAGCCCAGGACATGACTTCCACAAAACAGCTTATGGCATCTAAGCATGTGCTGTTCCTAGGGATAAATGCGGTGTTGCCAGATAGATAATCCATTTTTGATGAATGCATAGTCCATCACTCGTAGGTATTGAAAGCATTTTTGTTCAAATTCATATTTGTTTGAACATTTATCCATGGTGAGGATATCATCCGTTTGCAGCCCGCAAAACGTATTTTTCATTCAATAAAGTTATAAATGTTACTTTTCGCGAATGCTCTTCACACCATGTAAACTCACGTGTTCTCAAAATCTGTAAATTATCACATAGCTATTCAACTTTCAGGGCAGGATCATAGACTGCTATTTCCTTGTAAAGTAGTATTAGTCCAAGAGCCGACTCCAATGTTTTGGTTACATCATGTTCTGAAACTATATGTTGAAAACCAGTTAAATCTTACGTATGTTGATGCTCAACAGCAAACTCAGCAAGCTTGCTGTCTCGCAAAACTTGACCAAGGTCATTGGAGCCGATCAACAAACTATAATGATATTCGATGAAGTGTCTTCCCTTGATATAACTACTTTTTGACAGAACCATGGCTTGACGTAAATTAATAATATCAGATCTTCACACCTATTTAATGACATCATTTCACTCTACGTGTAGATGAGCAGTAAATGGAATGATTACAGTGTTTACACCCCTTAAGCAAATTGTTGGTCTTGCTGAAGCTGATCGTTATCGGCATTTTACGACTATATTTGCATTAAACATATTTTGATATACCACTATTTCAATTTTATTATTTTTTATTTGACACTTTATTTACGTCTCGGAGTATATCTACCTGTCAGCGAAACTGTAATTAATGACGCATTTATTGGAGTTTTATTATCAGCAGCCAGACTACTTTGTCACTTAATTGTTGTGGACTTGTTATATCGCTTGAATTCAAGGGACGATTCATTGCGTTTCGAAATTACAATCACAAAAATTGTAAGAAATACCTCAATGGTTGGTCAGATTTCACTGTTGAGATTTCTTTATAAAAGAAAAAAAAAACGTGTATAGACGTTCCTTAGGATGGATGGAATGTGTGGCTGTTCATATTGTTTTCATCTATGCTGGAACGCTTTGTTTAACTAGTTGTAGCTGACCTGTGCCTTTTTACTTCTGATGAAATTATCTAGTATGGTTCTTAGTATTGAGTGTTTAGGAGTTGTTTTACGAGGGATATCTTTTAACTTTTGCATATGGAAATAAAACAACACGGTAGGTAGTTTTAAATGACTTTATTGTTTTTCGAAGTATTCTCCACGATGGGCTCGAACCAATTTTCGAAGCACTTATTCCACTCGCTTGTTGGCAAATCCAAAACGGCATCTTTGAATGCGTCAACTGCTTCCTCTGGTGACTGGAACCTTTGACCACGCAGTCTGTTTTTAATTTTCGAGAAAGTTAAGAAATCGTTAGGACTTAGATCGGGACTATATGGACGATGGTCTAATAATTCCGCGTTTTCTTCCGTTAAATACTGCCTTGTTTTTTGGGCTGTGTGCGAGCTTGCATTGTCTTGGTGGAGGATGATTCTTCTCTCGGTGTTGATTTTTCGAAGCTCGGTGATGACTTTTGGCAAACAAATGGTGGTATACCAATTCGCAGTAACAGTTCTTTGCTCATATTAGGAATTGTTGCAATATGATCCGCTTTTGACACAAATTTTCGAAACACTTCGAGAACGGTTGACTTTTGTTGGCTTTTCTTCACCTTGAAACACCCAAACAGCCGACTGTCGTTTATTTTCTGGTTCATAACAGTAAATCCACGATTCATCACCACTAACAATGCTGTACACATTTTTTGAATTTCCGGAATTGAAACGGTCAAGCGTTTTTTGACACCAATTAACCCTGGGTGCTTTCTGCTCTTCAGTCAACAGGTGGGGTATCCAACGAGAAACTAATTTTCTTACTCCTAATACTTCATATAAACTTTTTTGAATTGAGGTCTTTGAGATCTTCACGGACGCCTCAATCTCGCGATATGTTACATGTCTATCTTCAATGATAAGTTTGCGCACAGCATCGACGTTTTTCTGGGTGACTGCTGTTTTTGGTGCACCCACCCTGGGATCGTCGCTAACACTTACCCGTCCACGTTTGAATTCTCTAAACCAACGGGAAATAACAGACAGTAACTCAGCAAGGTATTATTGTTGCGATAATTGTCTCTGAAAGTTGGAATAAATTATGGCGCGAAAATGTTTTCGGTTGACTTCCATTTTTCTAATGACCTGGTGACACTTAAAAATTCACTGTAGTGAGAACACTGCACGTATTGTTGTGAAACTTTGAATTTAAGTTTAATAAAGAGTGAGGTTAAGATTCAGTACTGACGTTCGATCCGCGCGGCCTTCTATGTTTCTATATGCAAAACATGAAAGACATCCCTCGTATGTTTATTTCATTTCTTGTGGACTGATAATATGTATTGAACATGTGTTAATTGTTTAGGACTTCTCTGTATACTATGTTTGATGTTGTATGATTGTCCGGTAGCAAAATGTATTGATGTGCTCAAGATACGCCAACATACAGTGTAGACCAAAGTCCCTTCCCTTTTGGATTATCATGTGTACGAGATAGAGAACCAAGAGGGGAGTGCTAGAAAGAGTGCGCCATATTAGTTCGCTAGCACGTCGCCTGGCAACGAAAATGGTGGAGGTCACGCAGGGCGCTTGAGTTAGGCTAGGCTTTTTATGAGTGGGTCAATCACGAACCTCCATTGGGACTCATTGGTGTATTATGGCTCAAACCTGTTTATATTTATCCGAGTTATTCTGATCCCCTGAGGAAGTCGATCAACTTATTTAGAGAAATATCCTTCAGGTCTTCTACTTGGAGTACCATCCCCCCAAGTGTATTGAATCTGACTCTGGCAACTGCAGGACTTCTTCCACCATGCCCAGCCTGCTCATGTAGTGATGCAATTTGCAATCTCCAGTGTACAGCCCCATTAAATCTTTAAGGCTATTCCTGTTAAGCCGCAGCAGTGAGTCTGTTACCTCTTCTTTGTTCAGATAGGGCCGGTTTCCTTATTTGGGTAAACCCTGTTAATCCGTCCCAGTGTTGATTGATCTTTCCTTCCGTATTGTCCGCGATTGCGACTGCTAGCTTAGGCCATATTTGAAAGGTGGATTAGCCCCACTCATTTCCAGAGCGTCGGCTGTCTCGTTTCCCTTCAGACCTGTATGTCCTGGTATCCATACGAGACGTACCTTATTTCTTATTTCAATCTCCTATGTCACCAAGAGCTTCTCTATAATTCCACCCTAATTTTGATGTTGAATAGGTAGAGTCAAGTGTTTGAAACGCGGCTTGACTGAGAAAATGTTATAGTCCTGTGCCCCAATTTCTGGGTAACAAGTTCTATAGCGTATAGCTCTGCCTAGAAAATCGATGCCCAGGTTCCTAGGCAGACTGATTCCTTAACATTCAGCTTCGGCACGAAAATACCAGCCCTAACACCTACTTCGGTCTTGGAGCTATCTGTATATGCACTGATGTATTTCCTTAGTAGGTCAGTTCGCTGTTCCCACTCATTCCTTTGAGGAATTATCACTGAGCAGAGTTTAGTATCTTATTATTTTTAGCCTTATATCAGATTAAATTCCTACACTGTGGTGGTTTTGTCCACCAACATGTCTGCTTTGTCCATAGCCTACAGGTTGTCATTCTTTCCTTGCCGTCCAGGTATTGTGCAACGGAGGTAGGTTACATCCATAGTCGCAGTTGGTGAGCTGCGAAAAGCTCCAGTAATCAACATGCAAGGCCATCTCTGTAGTGCGCTTAGTTTAGCCTGGACCGTATTTTGTGCTGCTTTGCCCCACCAAGCCTGCAGATCCATAGGTTATCATAGGTATAAAGGCGATGGTACAAATCTAAAATATTTGCTTACACTTCACTCCCCAATTCTTTACACAGATCCTTTGACAGTTCCATAACGAGAACCTTGCCTTCTTAAGGGCTGCTTCCAGATGTGAATTTCAGTTTAGCGTTTCATCAAAGATCGCCTCTGAAATGATATGTTTTTACCTCGGATTGTTGGAGGTTTAATCCCATCCAATTTTCTCTTTGTGGTGAAAGGTACTATGATGATTGTTTGTGGGATTTATTGACGTTCGTTCCCTCACTCACCATTCTGATATTGCGTTTAGGCAGTGGCCTAAAGCGTTGTCTAGATATCTTTGTTATATTTCCCCTTGACCAAAATGACTAGATCATCTGAATATACCTGAACCTGGCCCTACCACAGGCAAATAATGGTATAGCAACCCTCGCTGTGGACACTCGCTGGCAGTTCTAAACCTAAGTGTCTCCTCTGTAAGGATATAGTTATTGTTCTGTACGTTAAAATGCGCCTGATCCAGCCCCAGATCAGAGGACTTACACCCTTTGCAGAAATCAACTCATAGAGGGGATTTTGGCGGAGTATTATTGAATGCTCGTTCTATGTCCAAAGAGGTTCCTATAGCGATTTTTTTGTTTTTCTTACAAACAAGTTATTGGGAGCAAGATCTATTGATTTTTCAGCCTGACGGGCTGATGGGTACACTCAGAAAATGCTTTTCTATAGCTCCCATCAAATGTACTCATCGGCCTTTTAGCAAAAGTGGGGTCAGAATAATTGGTCTGAGTGACTTTGCCACTGGTTTCGTTCGACCAGGTTTCGGTATACAAAACTACTCTTCTCACCGTCCAGCCTTGTGGTATGTGATTCCACGCTAGGCTGGCTCTGGAGAGTAGCGCGGCCATAATTCCGTAGCGAGGCCACTTGGTGACTATTTCTATCATGCCTCTCTCGCTTCTTTGTCTCTCTCTCTCTTTCTCTTTCTCTCGTACTCATGAAACTCAAAAAGAAAAAATGACTTTGGATAGCACTGTATAACTCCTGATGAGAAAAACTCCTCTTTCAAGTCAATGCCCACGACAGAATGTTCGATCCTAGGACTCATTTATGTGGGCAAATGAAACTTTGACTGGAAACTGCAGCCTTTTGAACGATGAAGAAAAGAAAATGCACTATAGAAACTGTACTAACATGTAACGTCTAAATTCCGCCGATCTCCTTTTTTTACAAAAGCTCTTTATTTAATATTGCGGACAGGGTTGCATTCCAGCGGTGCAAAATTTGTGTTTTCAGTTACTTGGCCATGAAACTACGATGAATGAAAGTCAATAACAAAGCTATTTATCGTTTCAGTATTTAGCGTGGGCGGAAAATTCCAGAATGAAAAACGGACAACGATTTTTTGACTCATATACAGAAGAGCAACCGGGCAGATCACTTTTAGCTGATACATATGACCTATATCGTTATTTTAGAATATCTGTGATATAATATACAGGGGAGGGTGTCCCATTTTAATATCCTCATCTATATATTTCGAAAGCTATGCACCCTAGAAAAAGATATTTCAAACAAAACTTACAGGGTTTAGAAAGTGCAGAATGAAGGTGACCTTGAGAATGACTTTGGCTGCGACCTTTAGGCTCATTTAAAGGTCAAACAGATATTTCTTAATAAAACCTCTTTTTTACTTTTGAATTGTAAGGAGAAAATTTTACGTCTGAAAACCAGCAGCACGACTTCAAGGCCATTTCAAGGTCTAATCAATTCGTTGAAAACAATTTGCTCTGGCAGAACTGTTTGACAGCACAAGTGTGAGGTTCGTGAGGATCACTCGAATCTGACCTTGATAATGACTTTGACCTTGAGCATAACTTTCAAGGTTAAGTCAAAATTTTCAAGGGAAACCTCTAATTTTCACATGGGAAATGGAAAACCAAATTTTACATTTGAATGTGACCTTAACCTTAAAGTGAAAGGCTGTGCCAAGGTTGAATGTTATTTGGGGTCAAGGTCACATTCTGTCGTAAAATTTCCGTTTGAAAATTGTCAATATCATCATTATTATGATCCGTCTCAAACAATGTTTGAAACTTTTCTCTAGAATGCTCATTTTTCGAAATATTTAGGTTGGAGGATTAAAATAGGATACCCTGTATAAGTATCTGTGATTTAAAAGTGTAATGCTATGACGACTTTCGAATAACGATGGGTATTGGGGTAAGATAAATTTAGGGATCTCGAACATACCAAATTATAAAACTGTTCAATCGCTTAGTTAACATCCGGTATAATCCCTCATATTTGACTAACTCGTCACTATCTTCGTCGTCATTGAAAAACGGTCGCACATCTCGCAGAAAACATATGATTACGGGACATGTTATTTATCTATTTTGCTGGCTTTTAAAATATATCTGCTATTTACTCCAGGAAAATTTCTTTACAGCTGGTAGTTGAGCAGTTATAAGTTATGGTTAAATGATTAACTGCTACATCAAAGCGGGTATTTTTAATCTTATTTTACATTTTTTCGATCCGGGCATTGAAAATACATACCCAAAATCATCAAGTACTTCTCACATATATGAGGTGCTGCTATCCTGACTACATTGTGCATGTTCGATGCTGTACAGAGGAAAGTTGTCTGACTGATCGATGACACCTCTCTAACGGTCGGTCTCGGGTTCTTACACACCGACTGGCAGTCAACAATCTGGCTTTTTTCTACCGCTACACCAACGGGGTTTGCTCCTCCTACATGATGCCGCCATTCGTTGCGCCTGCTGAGCGGAACCACTAGATTTCAGTTCCTACGTCTGGTGAGCTTCGTACATCCATAACTGGCCATTACGACCGCTCCTTAGTTCCTAGAGATTCGAAATTGTGCGTCAATTTGCATGAGGAGACTTTTTCCAGTGCTGGTATTTAGGTTTTTGCCTATCAGCAGTAAAAAAATCAACAGGATTATCGTATGCATGGGACAAGTAATTCTAATGATTTAGTCTCAAACACCGGTAACCTAAAATACGATATTGTTTTGAAAAAAAAGATCGAATGGAAATTTTGCGCGAGAATTGTTTAAATTTTTTTGGCCTCCAACCATTCTCCGAGACCGAGGTGAATCGAGATGGTAGTATATTTTGGAATCTATTGTAATCCTTTTTTATGAAATGTTGTGACTCTAGCTAATTAATTTATGTAGCTTCTGGAAGCAGTACACATTTCATTTCTCTTTTAAGCTTGTACATTTTTTAACAATCTACACGAAGGACATATTCTGTTGTCGAATGAAAAATGTATGTCACAACTTCAAACAGAAAGTCGATCTACAAACGTATACTTCTCTGTAAGTCGAGCTAAATTCTCTCGAACTAAAGTTGTTTCTGTTTTCCGGAGAAAATTAAGAACTTTCCAAAGTTTAACTTAACGTAAAATTCACCGTCAAAAGTTTGCCTCTTACTGCTTTTGTTCATTTCAACAAGCTCACGTTTTTCAGTATGCGAGTGGATGCCAGGACTTTTCATAGCAGAGGAAACAGTAGAGAATTTTCCATGTAATGGTTGATTTAAGAAGTACGTGTATTTCTGGGTCAGAACAGAGATATACGATATCGGGCACTCTATATTTTATGATCTCTGTTTTGAAGAATGGGTAAATAGCCAAGACCTACTCAACCTTTTCTCATTAGCTGCCCCAAACTATAGGGTGAGCCATTTGTAATTTTAAATTGATTCGGTTATTAAAAGGAAATCGATGCTTTTTTCAAATTTATGGTTTTATTGGAAAGGTTTAAAAATGAAACACAATATCATTCAAAGTTACGGCTGGCCTGATAGTACTTGAGCCGATTAGGTAATCATTAACCCTGGAGCGCTTAGGCGAATAGCACGGCTATAGTTGCTTAGGCGGGGTTACCAATAACCCCAGTGATATTCCTATTTAATGAACAAAATATAAAAGATAGACACTTTTGTTTCAATAATAAAACTTTTATTTCAAACACTCGGTACATATTTCAGCTCGATGATTACTGCAAACAGCCTTGAAACATTTCGCACAGGCAGTTTTTGTTTTTCGGTCATTTGTTCTTGGACATAAAATGCAGCGAGTCTGTTTTAGCAATTTTGCTGGAGGTGGATCAACTTTTTCTTCTGTTTTCACATCTAGAATATTCATTATTGATTCTTTCAATTTTCGAGGTATTGGTTTTGTCAAACGTCTTTCCATATGAGGCCTGACCAGTTGTAGTCCAAGTTCAAATAGGTATTTTCGACGAACACTTTTTTGTCTATCACGCTTAACAATTTGGAAAATAATGTTGGAGTTAATGCCTGCTTGATCCATTATACCATAAAAAAAGCGTGATGGCCACCTTCGTGTTTTGCGGGATACCGAATATGTGTGCACCATTTGGTCAAAGGTATCGACACCTCCCTTGGTAGAATTGTAAAAATTTATTATCTCGGGTTTTTCATTTTCATCTATTGTACTACCTGAATGCATTGTCGATAAAAGTAGCACAGATTTAGACTTCTTGGGTGTGAAGGACACCAAGGTTTTTTGGTTGTCGAATCCAAATTGAGAAGACATAATTTCTTTTCGTTTGTTTGGGAGAAATGATGGAGGAATTTCCCTCTTGTTTTTTCTTAGAGTACCCACAATGGTCAAATTGTAGTCAACAAGCATTTTGTCAGCCAGTGGGATGGAAGTAAACCAATTGTCCATCGTCAAATTGCGTCCGGTTCCGTGAATGAGTTCTGTCAGTTTTCTTACGTAATAAGCTGGGAGAGGTTCTTTATCTGGCCTATTTTCTTTGCCGATATATGGAATAGCAGTAACCATATAATATGTGCGTGAATCACACATCGTTACAACTTTGATTTCATATTTGTCAGGTTTTGATGAAATATATACTCTAAAAGGGCAATTGCCTCGAAATCCCAATAACGGTTCGTCGATGGTACAATAACTGTGAGGAGTATAGTATTTTGTACAGTTAGATATAAACATTTCCCATATATTACGTACTGGAGAAAATTTATCTTCTCGGTCTCTCATGGTTTTGTCGTCAAATCTGAGGCAAGATATCAAAAATCTAAACCTTGTTTCACTCATTACGCATCGATACACTTCTGGTCCATGCTTTGACCACATTTCTGCTATAGTTAGATGATTGTCTTTTCTACAACCTGTCATATAAAGCAGTCCTATCAAAGCCAAGATTAGCCACAATTAGCAACATATTTCCCTCTTTGTCGTTCTATTTTCATATTTGTATGCACCACTATAACATCTATAACATCTATAACATTCGCGCTAAAAAATAACTTCCATGCCTCTAATTCCGTTGAAATATTTTTGGCCGCACCTTTTGGTCCTGGAATACATGAAACAATGTTTCGCTTAGGTGTTCGAGTACGACACGGAAGCTCAGTGCTCCAAATATGTCCATTTTTTCCTTTTATTACTTTGCCAGGAAGTTGTTGTTCTGTCTCACTCTCTACTTCACTATCATCCGTTGAGTAGGTGCTCTCCCTGTCGGACTGAATTGAAACATGGTCGTCATAGTCAGTGCCGTCATTATCTGAATCAGGTTCATTGTCGAGTTCTTCATTCCATCGTAACAGAGTTTCTTCAAATTTGGGATCATCTGGTCGGACAGCCATCTAAATAAATCACGTAATCTAGTGTGTGGAATAAAATAAAAATACCAGTTTAAGCTTACCTGGGGTTACTCGTCACCCCAACCACAAAATATCATATAAACTATTCCACTGAACAAAAATGTGCGACCAACAACACACACACTTTAACCTCAAATGAACATAGCGGGATCTCCGATGTTGCTAATGTATGCATAAAAAATTAGTGAACATTTGAATTTTCTTTGGGGTGATGCGAAACCCCACTAAGCATTACAGGGTTAAATACTTTTTCAATTTTCTGGGCTAAAATTTCTTGAATGACAACTTCGATTTCATAGTTCGAGGTCTCAGTTGTCTCTTCATGGTTAGCACTCGGGTTGGCATAACGTTTATTTTTAATATCTTCACACAAAATAGTTTCCAAAAACGATACCCTAAAGTTCGATTATTACGTTGGTTGTTAGGCCAGTGGTGCCTTCTTATTGTAACAAAATGCCTATGGCATCCATTTCAGCTTTTGGAAACAAAGACCCGTTGAGCATAACACGGTAGTGCTCGCCGTTGACTGAAGAGGTCATTTTCGGAAAAAATGCCGTCAAGTAAGTTGACTCTGTGGTTTCCATGCTACGCTGTCATCAATTCGCAAAGCATCATGTTTGGCACAAGATATCAGTTCTGAGAAAAAAGCCACCAACATCTATAACAAAAAATTACATGACCTTCGTCCTCCCCCTACGACAAATCCGGCTTTCACCATGCACAGCTCACGCAGCCCACAGTAGTATGGAAGCGATTGCCGACGTTCGGCCACCGACGACAACGGTTGTCCATCAGGAGACGATGTTGTACAATCGACACCGGAATGTGGGAAATATTTCTGCGCTTTAAGGGTAAATGTTCGGGGACATCTATTATGAGTGAAATATGCATTCTATGTGCGTAGAATTACTGGGGTTGGGAGCGTATAAATATACCAACGTCAAAAAATTAAGATATACCCTCACCCATCCCATGCAACTCTAAACACCCTTTTTTAATCGTACAAAAGGTTTTCCGAAAATGGCCAGGATCGTCTGGAACGCCAAAACAAAACTAAGTTAGAGCGATTTTTTTGTTTTTTGGCTTTTTGATCCGCCGCCACTGGACCGAGACAAAGCTTTTGCGTCCCTGGCATAGCAGTCATATTATGTAAATATTTCATCAAAATCCAAGCGGTACTTCTCAAGTTATTGGCGGTAAAAGATTATCGGACAGATCGACAGACAGACCGACAGATAGATCGACTGTATTCTGATGCCACATGATTCATGATACATTATATCGAAGCTCTTTATGAGTATTTTATTATCTTGAAATCACGAAGAAATATAGGAGGTCAAACTGCGTAAGGGATAGATGTATTCGTATGAAGCTAATCCTGTCGCCAAAGATAGTGTTGCTCTAGTGGACGTAGAACATGGCAAAGAGCGTCTGCGTATTGAAAAATGTCAACCTGCCGCAACCTTTAAATGCATTTCACTCACGTTTTGCCATGTTTTGTAGGTTTATTTATATTATCCAAAATTTCGTCTTGCAACTCGTCCTATGTGTAACAGTTGGCGTTGCTTACAGCAGTTATGATAGCAACAGAGAGAGATGCCACATTCGCAGAACCTAAAATTCATTTGATGCCCAGTGTGCAAGTCAGTTCATTGTCGATGGTTTCGGCTTCACCCCCACACCATGAGTTTAAGCTCTTATCTCTAGTGTTCATGCTTATAATACAAAATTCACCATATTATAAAATGGGTGACCAGAGGACTATCAAAGCTTTTTAGTCTAACTACCATTATGACCATTATGCTAAGGTATTTTATATAAATTTCCTTTAGGAAGGGTCTTTCTGATTAGTAAAATATTGTTTGACAAGCTTTTTCAATGAAATCTTCTATAGTCTACTGCATGTTCGGATAGGTCCTTCTAAAAGAAGAAGTTTGATGTAACATACATCTACAAAGCGCTCAAATTTTACAGCTCGTCAGTTCGTCATTTTCAAACACAGTGCATTCATACGGAGCTTCAAAATGATTTCATAAAAGCCATATTATATTTGAAAAAAAACGTACATTTTTTATCTTGAATTCCAACTAGGCAACTTGAACCGCTCAAAAACTAAAATGGGGATCTCGAACACGGTATATATATATATATATATATACGAATGGGTAAAAAGTTACGTATTCAGGAACTACCAGAGAGAGACGAATTTTACCAAAGTCGATCAATTATTTCCTGTCTTTATTTGTAGTGGGATTTCAAAATTAATTGCACATTAACATTACTACCTTTTCTCCTTTATAAGATGTCATAATCAGAATTTCAATCTGACGTTTCTTCTACTCAATTTTATTTTTTGTTCTTGACGCCTTATTGGATTTTTGTACAGGAAAATATAATTCTGATTTCAAAAATATATAATATGTCATACATTGATATTGCCAAACCTTAGTTACTTCAGAAAAACTGAATCTCCTAGGTAGGGTCCTGAAGTTATCAGATAGTCATTTGTTTCGTATACTACATTTATTGTTCTGGCTTTACTTCAGATGAGATTTCAAAGTAAATGTAAGTTTTTCTTATGGCGTTTCTTCTCCCGACTTCCATCACCAACTTTGGAACACAAATTATAAGGAAATAAGAAGGTATTGTGAAACCTGAACACAAAATGATAATTCTACTGATGGAAATAATAATAATAGTAATAAATAAACAGAGGTAAATCATAGTAGATGTTCAAAACCTGTTATTTTGTAGGCAAGGATTGACTGATTCTCTGCACATTATTCACTGCTCGGTTTGTTTCTCTTCTTCTCATCTTACAAACACTGTTACTATGATCAATTTGAGGTCTGGTCTGGGATTCGAAACAAATGACTATGTGATACATTTCAATCCATACCTAGGATATTCTGTTTTTCTGAAGCAACTGAGGCTTGGCAATGTAAATGTACACCGTATCCATTTTTAGAGACAATATTCATTTATGTAAAAATCCAATATGGCGTCGTCTATAAGAAAAAGTAGCATTGATGCAGGAGGGCAGGAGACGAAACGTCATATTGAAATTCTAATTATGCCAACTTGTAAAGGAGAAAAAGTGATAATGTTATTGTGCAATTTATTGTGGAATCCCACTACAAATAAAATAAGGAAAAACTAAAGCCGTTTTTCTGAGCGACATTTTGTTAGTTGCCTAAATACGCATCTTTGTCGTCTCTTAAGCGACTCTGTATCTTTTACTGTTTTAAAACACCTGGTATGTATACAGATAGCATTGTACTGGTTTATCGCTCGAATAGCCGAAAGATGTTAGAGTAAATATTGTGGACACCTAGATGTATTACCCCCCATGTCTTTGTACTGGAGCCAAAATTATGGTTGCAGCGGCCTATTCTGTCAGTTGATGAGTTGTGATAGATAGATAGATAGGTAAATGTTTTATTGTCTTCGGATCATAGGTATGATATAAGACTTGTCAGACATATCTCTATAAGTACATTATTATCTACAAAATTTAAAAATATATTTAAGTATAAATACATGAATTTGTCGAAAAGCAGCGGTTAAAATGGAAAGAAACACAGTTAGTCGAAACAGGGCAAAGGACGCACGTATGAAAACATACACTAAACAAGCAGATACAATAATAAACGGAACAAGGTGTAAAATAAGTAAGTACAATAACAATAAAAAAAAAGGTACGCATATATAAGTATCAGAACGCTAAAAATATATATGCAGCCATAGTGTTCTATTTAATTTTAGGTACATCACTCTGACCCTGAAAGAAACTCGGCTACTGAGTAGTAGCATCTTTCCACTAACAGCTCTTTGTGTGATCTTTCCCGAATACAAATTGATTTTTGCATATCCAAGAACCACCCAAGAAGTTCCGAATTATGTACGCGTAATTTGAAAATAGATCCATGTTAATGAGTACAGCTATTCTATAGGCTTGAACTACTATTAACTGTTTGTTTTTAATCAATTTCGAGGTCGCCATATGCTTCGCATTTTCTGTGATGTCCCGTTCTTATTTTACATAGTTTTGATGGGCAATTAAAACACATTTTACATGGTTAGTTAAATAAATAACTACCAAAACATGGTAATTTATGTTCATTCATATTGACATTCTCGGAAGGTCTATTTAATAAAGGACGAGCTACTACCAATTAGCGATCTGGTCAAAATTAGATAATAAAGAACACCTGCTTAAAGAAACGTGCCTTGGATTTACTTCGATTTTTCTTGAATGCTTGTTACAGGGAGTGTAATATCGGTGATTAAAGTACGAAAAACTTATCGTAAGTATATTATACCATTTTTTTTATCCATGTGGGTGGTGGGTGAGAAAAATTCTGGGAGTCTCATGGTGTCCGCATCTCAGTAAGAGAAAAGAGCATTACGGACCACTACCATTCACCCACAATCAGATGAATAAATCAGGTGTAACTAGCCAAAAACAGATATAAAAAAATGGCGTCAAGTAGGTTGATACTACTTCCCACGGAATTCTGGACGAATTGGTATTGTATGCGCATCATGTATCACACCTGAGTAAAATATTGTATGCTCTGATATGTTTGTTGTTTTCCGGCTCTGAAAATCCTTGAACTCTGGCGTAAGGCCATAGAGTATCAATGAACAAAAGCATTGTTGATTTGAAATATTGAAATTGTGGGGTTTCAATGCTCATGATATATAGTATCAACTTTCTCTCATTCTGGTAGGTGTACTATTGGTCGGCTATGAAAACCCTTACAGCTAGAGCACGCAATTATTGAACTTTTCCGATAAAATCAATAAGAAATAGTTATTTTTTTGACAGTTATATTGAAGGATAAATTATATTCATTATGCATTTCTCAATAAAATTAAATACAAAATAACTAAACTGAAAATCAAATAAAATAAAAAATTTTGATTAATTACATATAACCACTAGTTATTTTCTCATATATGTTTGTATGTAGGTAGAC